CTCAACTTCTAATCAACCATGGCATCTTTGTACTGTGCTCATATCACCATCGTTTTCGATCGCGCCATTAAAAACAAGGAAATTAAGCTCGAATTCAAGTCGATAATTTCGTCTTCGAGCTCCAATCGGCGACGATTATGTTTGTCATCAACAGCATCGCCATTAACATCATTGTTATTAACCTTGCAAAATCAATAACAAAGAAATAAAGCTCAAAATTCAGACCAATTATGTCATTTTCGAGCTCCACTCAACGACGATTATGGTCGCGCATTTCCGATGAAATTGAAAGATTTCGGCGATCGAAAATAAGTTCATTGAGTTTGTATTATGTGATGATAGTATGGAGCAATTTTATGAGATTCTAATATAAGTTTGTTCATTTTCATTTATGCATTTTTATTGTATGTGTTTTTGCTCATTTTAATTTAGTTTGCTCATTTTAATTTTAGTTTGCTCATTTGTAATAGATATGAGCAGAACATGTATTAAATTAACCTTGTGAACTATCTATTTCAAAAATACGCAGAAAATAAAGTGCATAATATAAACTAGTATACGGTTGGTCTCTTATGGTCTAACAATTGTTTACATTTTCTGATATAGTAAGTAAGTTCAAGGTTTCATATTAGTTTGAATGTTTTAAAATTGTTGCTCATTTGATAAATAAACAAAGAATAGTTGCTCATTTGATAAATGAGCAAACAAAACAAAGAAATATTGTTTGCTCATTTAATAAATGAATAAAGAATTATTTCTCATTTATCAAATGAGCAAATATTATTTTCTCATTTATCAAATGAACAAAATGAACAAATAAATGTTGCTCATTCGATAAATGAGAAAAATAACAAAAAAAAATAAAAATAAATAAATAAAATTGTAAAAAACAAATTTTAAAATATTTTTTGCTCATTTGATAAATGAAAAAAGAATTGTTGCTCATTTGATACATGAGAAAATAATTGTTTGCCCATTTGATAACTGAACAAAAAAAATTTCCTCAAAATGAGCCAAACAAAAAAAAAATGTAAATTACATTTTTGCCATTACTATGTGAGCAATCTCAACAGTTGGATTATGAGGTATCCAATGGTTGAGATTTGTTCTTATATATACTTCCTCCATTTTTTGTTATTTGCAACAATTGTACCGGTTGCGGAGGTCAAGGCAAAAGTTTTTAAACATGATTATTGAAATATAAGGGCATGTACTTAAGCACTAATCCAATATAAAAAAAACCCACAATCAATCAGAACCCAACAACCAAACCCAGAACCAACACCACCACCGAATCCACCGTAAACCACCACCACCACCGAATCCACCGTAAACCACCACCACCATCGAACCCACTATGAACCACCACCACCACTGAACCCACTGAAAACCCAAGCCAGAACCTGTCGAAAGCCACCAACACCCACGAAACCACTGGAAACCACCACCAAAACCCACTGAAAACTACCAAAATCCATCGGAAACCACCAAAACGCACCAAATAACACTAACCCACCAAATCCCAGCGAAAACCACCATAACCCAACGAAAACAACCACCAAAACCCACCGAAAACAACCACCAAAAACCCGAAAGCCCCAATTAAACCACCACCACCACGAAACCCAAAACCACCAAAAACCACGGGAACCGCCAAAGCCACCGAAACCCACAACCCAAAACCACCGGAATCCAACGATGAACCCGGCAAAACCCCCCCACAAACTACCAAATCCTTAGAGTACCACCAAAACCAACCCTTCAAACCACCAAATCCAACCACGAACCACCGAAACCTTTCGACTACCACCAAAATCAATTCCCACGAACCCAGCAAACCCAACCACGAACTCAGCAAACCCAACCACGAACCCAGCTAACTCACCCACGATGCACCCCCACAAACCTACCGACCCACCCACAAACCACCAAATCCAATCACAAATACAAGCAAACCACCGACGAACAACCAGATCTGGAACCTCCTTTAACAAAGGTTTGGAATTTGATGAGACATGAAGAAAAGGAAATGAGAGATGAAGGAGGAGACAGAAAGATAATTGGGGAGATGAATTGAGATGAATCTGATTTTCAGGGTGGGAAGAGTTAGATAATTAATTCAAATTAGGATTATAATGAGTTGTAATTATGTGTTGTATTATGTGCTAATAATTTTTAAGTGAGGGTATTATAGTCATTTTCACAGAAATTTTTTACTAAAATAGGAAAGAAATAGCTTTGTTGCAAATAATACGAAACACCCAATTTTAGTAATAGTTGCAAATAATATAAAACGGAGGTAGTAATAAGGTTCTCATATATAGACCTATTCTCACCGGATCCCTTATATATATATATATATATATATATATATATATAATAATAATAATAATAATAATAATAATAATAATAATAATAATAATAATAATAATAATAATAATAATAATAAAAAGTAAGAAAAGTGATTTAATCTGTACGTTTTCTAAATTTTATCTTACACCTGGTAAGTGTAAGATAGATAGAAGTAAAAACATGAAAAGGGAAGTCAACAATTATGTATGATCAATCTTCCATGGAGTTGACTGAGGGTCTTGTACAACATTGACTACCAGTAGACTACCCTCTCGATCAACTTCGTATATATTTTTTGATGTCTTGTTCCAGTGCATGTAAAATGACTTTGTGGAGAATAGTTGATACTTTTAATATGAAAGTTTACGTGTAACTATGGTTAAAAATACAACATTTTATGACGTTGTCGTCTTGAGTAATAACACATGTTATTGAGTGATCACAAACTAATTCGTAAAATAAAAATAAAATAAAATAAAACTACTAATTAATCATAGTTTTCAAAATATTGCTCACATGCTTTATTGGGTAACAATTGAATGATCCATGTAGTGGAAATAAAGATTAACATTTGAGTTGAAGAAAATAAAAAATATTTGTGTATAAAAGTAACAATAATTGCAAAGGAAGTACTGAATTGCAAATTTGCAATCATCAAGCATTTGTTAAGATAGTGGTGCAAAGGTATGATGCTCAAAGGATAAGAAAAGACTTTGAAGTGCTGCTGCACTTTTGACTAGCTAGCTAGCTAAAGACTTTGATCAAAAGCTTGCTAGTTGCTAGTTTGTTGCCGCACTCAACTAGTGTTTTGAATACTTTGCCAATTGTAATAACATATTTCTTCCATTCTCTTATACTTTCAACACATTCTTTAGTCACGCAATTATAGGAGATGATTTATAAAGATAAACGAACAATTTTTTAAATATAATTAGTGAGTAGCCTAGGCTTTGCCCTTTGTTGATCCTGTTGTAGACGTGCAATCGATAAAAAATTTTAAACACTTTTTAAAACTGCAATTGTCATTGTCAACCATAAATTGAGTTATTATTCTTTGAGTATCTTTTTTATTTTTTAATTATTATTATTATTTTTTATTTTATTGAACCTTGTGGTTTTCATTTATATAATTTTCTTACATATTAATAACATAGTTGATAATTGGCTTAGATGGTTAAAGAGTCATTTTCGTAATAAGAGGTTGAGGTTTTGAACCTCCTTATGCTTATGTTTTTATATGGAGTAATGTTGGTTGCGTGGGTGATGTGGCATTGTTTGAGTGATGATGTGGCACATCGACGTTTTTAGGAACACCTTTTAATATATTAGTATAGATTTTAATACTAAGATTAAAGAAGGGTTATGTAACATATATAATTTTACATTATATAATCTCAATCACAAAATGCGTGCCACAAGTCTTTGTTGTAAGTATATTTTAAATGGAGAAAGTATTTACATTCTACATTATATATATTATTTATAATTTACTTCGTACATGTCTTTGACAATTTTCTTGTAAAAATAATTGCAATTATTTCTTTTAAAAAAAAACACAAGCTTACTATTTTAATTTATTACTATTTGGAAACTAATGAAGCTCTCTAACCCTAGCTAGCTTCCACCTTATCATTGGCACAAGAAGTGACAAAATTTCTTTCCCAAGGCTTACACCTCATAGAAAATTTTCTTTTATCAAATTGATGAAAGGATATATACCTCGACAACCATATGATACCATTTAGATTATTGTTTAGAGATCAGAGAAGAGTTACAAAGTATTGTATATAGATCAGATGAATCCACATTTTGAATACCATACACCACTAAAACCTTAATCCACTAAGATATTAATTATTGATCTTCACTAGTACTATCTCCATTTTCCTAAGTCTTACTCTATTAGTGTAGCTACAGAAATCAAAGAAAAGTGGAGGTGGAGACCATGCATGTAATAATTTTTGCTTTAAACAGGAGAGAAATAAAGAACAGGTAAAATGGATGAATAAAAAGTGAGTAGAACTTAGCAAAACGGAGGGAATAAATATTATCCTTTCTTCCCTCACTTGTCAACAATAAAATACCTTTATAGAATTAGCCATGCAAATAAAAAAACTCATAATACAACCTAATAGTTGCCATTTGACACTAATGCAGTAAATAATTAAGACTTACCATTAAAAAAAATGGAAAATGTTATGCATAACCCTAAATGTTATGTATAAGAAATTGAAAAAGGAAAATATTATTATAATATACTCATTAATTACACTGATTTGCGCCTAATTTTGTCTTGCATTTCTAAATTAATTAATACAAATTAGGAAATATATTTAATACTTCTCTGTAATTCTAAGGACTACATATAACACTATTTTCGAAATGCATGATAATACCATGCATTGATCCCTATCAATTTTTCTTTTAATAATTATTTTACTATGGAGTATTAATTATAAATATATATTTTTTCTTTCGTAAAGGATAATGATTGATCGAATTTGTAGACGTCAAAATACTACAAATTATCAATCTTAATTTTCTCTACCCTCCAAGATAAAAACAAAAATTTAATGTATTGAGCAAAGAGTTTAGAGTTATATACAAGTATATGATACAATGATAGTAATAGACCTATATAGTAAAACGATAAAATAAGAAGAAAAAAAAAGGCAGTCAAATTATGGGGTAATCATTCCAAATGAAAAAGGATGAGGATTAGCTTTCTCATAGCCTCATCATATGTGTCATCATGCACACCTTTGTGCTTTCTTTGCCAATTTCTTTCTTTCTTTCTTTCTTTCTCTCTCCTCCCACTTCTCATACTCCCTTCAACTTTAACTTTTCACCGCCATCCACAACACTATAATTATATTATTCTCAAATATGTCCGACCAAAAGCAAAGGGTAAAACCACCACATTGTGTGTTTTTGAAGTTTGTGTATTTTCTTACAGAAAAATTAGATAATTTTATGCAAGTAAGAAAGAGGCAGCTAATCCTCAAAAGCCTCCATTCTTAAATTATTATTATTGCATACAACTATTATAATTATTGTTATTATTTATTTGAATAAAAACATTTTCTTTAAATTAAACTACTACACCTATATCTTTCAGCATATATAACAAGGTGTAACCTTCTTTCCTAGTGTTAGTTTTCACTTAATCACATCTTTAATTTTCCACTTTATGTCTATATCATAGAGAAAGAAAGAAAGAGAGAAACTCTATCAATATTTCCATCATCTTTAGATATTCAAATTTAAATCACAAATCTTTTTATCCTTTTTTTAATTTGCTCCATTTTTAAGCTAAGCTTCATAATTAAGATTTCTCTCTTTAATCTAAGCATCATAATTCGTTTTAGCGAAAACTTTCCTAAACAATGGCTGATCAAGAAGTAATTACAAATGGGTTTCTACTAACACCAGTGATTGGATCAACTAATGATCCTCTTCCTCCTAAGAAGAAGAGAAACTTACCAGGAAATCCAGGCAAGTTTATTTATTTTCTTGTTTTTATTGGAATCATTCTTTCTATTATTATAAAAGTTGATGATAAATCAACATATTTTTTTGTAACTTTTGTTGTTCCACCTTTATGGTATAATGATGAAGGCTACCTAGGTATATTCAGAAATAATATACTCATAATTACCTAATAATAATAATGATAATTATATTATAATAATAATCTTTCTTTTGCATCTTTTAGATCCAGAAGCAGAAGTAATAGCTTTATCACCAAAAACCCTAATGGCAACCAACAGATTCTTATGTGAAATATGTGGGAAAGGGTTTCAAAGGGATCAAAACCTACAACTTCATCGTCGAGGTCATAACTTACCATGGAAGCTCAAGCAAAGGACTAGCAAAGAGCCAAGGAAGCGCGTCTATGTTTGCCCTGAAAAGTCATGTGTTCACCATCATCCTTCTCGAGCACTCGGTGACCTTACCGGCATTAAGAAGCATTTTTGTAGAAAGCATGGTGAGAAAAAATGGAAGTGTGAGAAGTGTAATAAGAAGTATGCTGTTCAGTCAGATTGGAAGGCTCATTCCAAAACATGTGGAACTAGGGAATACAAGTGTGATTGTGGGACTATTTTCTCAAGGTATGTGTTATTTCTTCATTTTAAGTTAATGAATTGAATTATATTTTACTTAACTTCTTTTGTTAGATCATAGTATATATATGATGATAATCGCAAGTTATAATATTAGAAAGGTTTCACTCATGCGGCATCTAAGTATTATGTACATAAAACACAATAATGCTCTTTTCAGAGCTACAATAGGCAGTGATGTAGACATGATTTGATGTCAATCATGTTTATATCAAGTAGAGTATACTAACCTAACTATCATAGCTGGCAGTCACTATTATACTTTAAAATCTATTTTTTTTTTGTAAGAGTAAACTGTATGTACATGATATCTTCATGGTAATAAAAAGATCAAGTTTTAATTTTTAATCACTAAGCATGATCTAAAGAAGAAATTTTTAAGGTGGAGATGTTTTTAGAGGTGGAGAAAAGCGATACTTTATGACAGTAACATCTATCTGTATGTATGGGAGTAATGGGGTATGAAGGTGGGGGTAGATATGGCAAGATGAGGACAAATATATAGTTACATGATTTAGAAGTACCATATTTATAATGTGGTTTGTTGCATGATTGTCTTGGTATATATTTTCATTGCATGGAGATTTGAGTCTACTAAAATTATTGCTCCTTCCTATAATTGTCTTTTTTATGTTACAATAGTAATTTGGGTTAGAAACTTGAATTGTTTCATTCTTGATCTAAACTTGTCAATAGCATGGGCCAAATATATATGAATAATGGTAAAGGAAGCATATATATAGTATGGCCCCTCTATAATAATTGAGTGTTATGCAATATTTCTAGCGAATAATTCTTTCGCCTTTTAATAAAAGATTTGTTTGATTGAAGGTCATTTTCTTAATTATTTGATTAAGTATAAAAATCATATATATTTCGTTGTTCATTCTAATTATTTTTGCATACTTATGCCATCATTTTTACATTATTCTTATTTATTGTTGTTTGAAAATGTGACTAAATATTACAACTTATGAATTACTCTCTTATAATATAAGAAGTAAATATCGAATTTGATCTATTGTTAGTTAGGGACATACATCTTAGGTTTGAAATACTATTATTGAACTTTATTCACTAGTGTAACTTATCACATAATTTGATGTCCCATTATTGGTAATAGTGAAATCCAATGCAGTTTACTCAAGATTTTGACCATGCCTTTTCTTTTTACCAACTCTCAAGACATACTAGCTCAATATATATATATATATCCCTTTATTTTAAGACAATACAAAATCCCAATAATCTAGGTTGGTCTAAGATCTAGTAAATTAATCACACAAAATCGTGCAAAATATCTCTATATATTTTAGAATATACTTAATTTTCATATGTAATTAACTAATCACATATTATTGTCCCTTCATTTGAGCAGGAGGGATAGCTTCATTACGCACAGAGCCTTTTGTGACGCCTTAGCAGAAGAAACAGCGAGAATGAACGCAGCAAGCACCCATTTCAACCTTAATGCCGCGGTAGCATCAAACAATAACCTCAACTACCATCATATGATGGGGTCTAATATCGGACCTGCAGTCGCCATGGCACAACATTTTTCTTCCATTTTTAGGCCTCTTTCATCATCAACTAAAGATGAAATCGCGCTTGATCAACATCAAAACCAAAGGGGTGGAGTATTTCCCTTGTGGTTAGGTAACCAATTAACTCAACCTGGAGGAGGGTATGATACAATTCAAAACTCTACTAATAATATATCCATCCAAGCCCATAATATACAACAACACCTTAGCTCCACTATCAACTCCTTAAATTCCCATAATACCCCTCTAGGGGTCCTGAGTTCGAATCCTCATCAGTCTGACGATAATAACTACCATCATTTAAATTGGGTATTTGGAAGTAAAATATCTAATAATAATAATCCACAAAATAACAAAAATATTGGTGAAGAACTAGGTGTATTAACCAATGAAATTACTTCAACTACAACTAATACTACTACATCACTTCCTTCATTATACAGCATTCATCATCAAACATCCCCAAATAATTCTTCCCACATTATGTCAGCCACAGCATTACTATACAAAGCTGCTCAAATGGGCTCTACTTCTTCTACCAATACAAATGATGCATTTTTCGATGGAAACTTTGGCTTAGTGAAGGAAAATAATAATGAAATAGATCACAACAACTTCAACCGGAGCGGTTCGGTTTTTGGTACTTCAAACTCAACCACCACCAATGCTGGGAGCGATGTCGAGGGTTCGGTCGATGATCTCTCTACCATGACAACAATGTACACTCCTAACCCAGCCAAGCGTCAGAAGTTGGTCAATGATCATGTAGACAGTCATACTCAAAGAGGTGTAGGAGTAGGAAGTGGAGGGCAAACTCGGGATTTCTTAGGTGTCGGTTCACAACCCGCGGCCGTGTGCCAGCAGCCGTCTTCCGTCAACGGCTGGATTTGAAGCTTGAGAAGATAAAGGACAATGAAGATAATGGTTGAAGGGTTAGTTGTATCCTAAAGGAGTTTCTTTAGGGTGAAGGAAAGAGGTGTTTTGTAAAGTTGTTAAAAGAATTAATTAGTTTATGGGTTGCCTAAAAAGTTTGATGATAATTTGTTGGAAAATTTTAGCTTAAAGGAAGATCCATGCATATTCTCTTGAACCCTCAAAGCTGCACCTATTAAGAAAATGGATGCTTTTTTTTTTTCTTTTTAATATATAATTTATTTTTATTAGGATAATAATGGTTTAGTGGTGGGGGAAAAAGCAAATTATTCTTCCTTTACATCACTATTATTATAAAAAATGTTTCAATACTCTCAACCTATTGTGGGTGGTCTTTTCAGATTAAAAAGTGCACCTCTAAGTGGACTAAAAAGGCTCTACCGTATAACTTGCATTGTTCATGCAGGTGTCCATATGCTTAATCCTCCCCTGCACTTAAGAACTACTAACATTTGACTTTCCTGCCTTAATAAAGGTTATTTAGTTCACCTTATTTTTGCTTATTTGATTTGATATTTGATCTGGTCTGATCTGATTGTCTGATTTAGCCAAACTTTAATCTTATGTGTATGATAATTTATAAAGAAAAAATATATTAAGTGGGACCTTGTAAGATTCGTAATAATGTATATTTTATTAATATGTAATTTTCATAATTTTTTCATTACAAAATTTAAGATATTTAGTGATAAAAAAACTGCACATAAAACAATGAACTGATATGAACTTATTTTTTCTAATATGATCTGAACTTAATTTTTCTTATTTGAACATATCTTTTCTGAAATAAGGAAAAATAATTTGAACTAAACAACACCTTATTGTACATGTAATATATTATTACCAAAGCAATAATAAAAAACAAGATAAATTGATCATTTTGCGCAAATACAATACAAGTACTCCCCGTTTTTTTTAGGTTCCCCACTTTCCTAAAACGACCGTTTTTTTAAGTGCCTCATTACTAAAGGTGGAAACCCCACTTATATTATTTATTATTTCTCTTCTTCCTTTTAACCCTACTACCATTTTATATTATTTTTTCTCTCTCACATTATTCCTAGTGCGTGGTCACCATTTATATTTTTCTATCTTACTTTTCAAATTTTTTATTCCTAACCAAACCCACCTATATATTATTTTATTCATTTGCCTAAAACTATGTGTCCAAAGGTGTGGGACACTTAAAAAAAACGGAGGGAATGGAGTTTAATAAGAGATAAAAACAAGATTATGATTGAAGTAGATCTAAGGAGGAAGTCCCTCGGTGATTAATCACAATTGGAAATTATATATCTGCTCCATGAGTTCACATCATTAAGAATTAAGGGAACTTTTTAAAAAAAAAAAATTAGTATTTGTAACTGGCTTTGTAAAGTCCGTTACTACTAATATGGATCAACAATACAAATTTTTACCTACACCCTACGACAGGGAACACTGCCTGCACCCCCACCACCTCTGCACGTGCGCTGCCTCGCACCTTTTCATTTATGAATTTCCTGCAAATTTTTATAACATATTCATTTCTATATTGGTAAATGTTCATTTTTATAATAAGGAGTTTTTTTGTTCAAATTAATATATTTTTTGAATTGAATTTTAAGAATTTTCTATAAATAAAAATGACAACAAATTTATTTATAAGGATTGCTGCGTTCAAATCATTTTTATTATATGAAGTATTGCATCATCTAATGTTCATTTTTGTTTATTCGTGTTTCAACAAATGTTTATTTTTATGTCATCAAATGTTCATTTCAAGTGCTATGTGTAAGTTCCTAGTAAGATGTACGCAAATACATACATCTTAGAATTCTATGTATTTAAATAAAACGTTGTTAAAAAATAATTTTCAATATAAAATAAATTTAATTTGATTTCAATAATAACGCTTTTCTATACAGTTATACTATTACATGTAATTGTTTCATAAACATAAAGGTGAACCAAATGTACATATCTGTCTCGTTAAATGAACATTCTTTGTTACATTTGGTATAATAAAGTGTGTGTGTGTGTGTATATATCCTCCTTATTGCACTTCTAATCACATATTTGTGTGTTTTTCATAAAAAATATAATCTGGGCTCATATATATGTCGCCTTCAACTTCCTTACTTGATTATCCTGTACAATAAGAGACCGATGAAGTTTTTCAAAAAAATAAAATAAAATAATAACCCATTCCAAACAAAAGTACTTGAAATCTAATGATTCAAAATTTAACATTTACGCAAATAACAATTACGAATACAAAAATAAACACACTATACAGATATAAAAATCTTTCAATATGAGAATAAAAATGTATGTATAAAATCTAAATGAACATGTATTAAGTTCTAAATGAACATTTATGAATATGAAAAAGAACATATATCAAAATCCAAATGCATAGCTATTAAAAGTAAATGACCATTAATAATAATTCAATACGTCAAAATACAACTTAATATGTATTGATATTATATGTGGATGAAATACCAAAAAAATATATTATATTTTAAAATAGAATCATCAAAAATATATGATGAATGAATAATATGTGATTTATGTTTGAACATATTTTAACTTGTGATTGAATATACATTAATATATGTGTGAATATACACATATCCAAATGAACATCTATGCATCAAATTTGAATAAATATCTATCAATATTAGAGTTAAAATGTATGTAGTATAATATTCAAATGATGCTCATGAGCATATATTAATTTAATATGAAGTTAAATGTGTATTATTATAGTCTATGTAGATATCTTCAATATGAGAATGAACATGTACGTATTTAAATTCAAATGAACAGTTGTTTAAATACCAGTAAACATTCATTAATATGTGAATGATCATAAACAAAACTAGGGTAATCTTCTATCAAGACTGAACCCCAGTAGATCTAAGGTAAGCATGTCAATGATCATATACTAATATCATAATGAACATCTATGAAAATAAATATGAACATTTACCAAAAAGTCATTTTCAATATAAATTAATTTTAATCTCAGTAATTCTACGAAAACTCATATAATTTAGAAAATTAGCACAATTATACTCTATACTCAGTTTTCAATGGCAAAGAATTTCATAATTTCTCATGACTTTTACATATGTAACACAAAATTCTTAATAAAATTAACTGAAAATTGAAAAATTGAAAAATAGCACAAAATATAGTAGATTTTGTTGGGGGGGGGGGAGGGGTTGTAGTTTGTCTTTTAGTGTTGGGGGGGGGGGTAAGGGCTATATGGTAATTTAGTTGGGGGGAGGGGAGTGTAGGTAGTTTTGCCTAAAAGGGGGGTGTAGGCATTAATAACTTGGTCAACAAGGTTGGAATATAAATTTGTAACGGGCCTTAATTATGCCAGTTACTAATGTTTGGTCAACTTTCTTTAACCAAATATTTGTAACTGACCTTAATAGCACCAGTTAAAAGTGCTAATTTATTTGTAACGCACATTAGTTACGTTGATTACTAATACTCTTATAGTAACTAGCTGAATTTATGCCAGTTACTAATAGAGCGTTACTAATGAGCATTTTTCTACTAGTCATTCAATCGCTAGTGCTATTGCTACACTAATCTACGCTAAGAAACTAAGGTAGCTTAAAGAAACATAAAGTATAGTTTGCTTATATGATTGATTCGTTATTCTATATTCTTATGCCTCTTGACCTCTTGTTAACATAGGCCTCTCTCATGCAGTTACACGTTGTGCTGTTGTAGCTGTAACGGCCCCTATTCTTTAGCAACGATTATCCTTCCTGTTTCTTCTTCTGGCGCCTAACCTATATACAAAGCTTGGTTCATTATATTTGTTGGGTTATTGTGGTTGGCTTTAGTTGGGCTGTGCTTGATATTGGGGCTAACAGCTTAAAGTTCAAAGTGGATTGTGCTTGTACCCTTAAAGTCAACAACATGAAAAATGGGTTTAACAATACCATCTAATTTTTCTGACTAAATAATTAAACTGAAAACGTGGTTTTTGGTTACATAAACAATTAGTTTAGCCAAAACCTGACATTTTCTTACTGATTTTGTAATTGCTTTAACCTTATTTGATCAATCCTTCCTCTCAATAGTTGAGGGGGCAGATTCGTTGATCAAGTATAGTAAATTACCTTCAACTTCTATATTTGTACGAGAATTCTATAAAAAATTGATTTGGAAAACAATGTAGAAATTGCATTTGAGTTTACTATCTCTAATTCTTATAACGTTTTAGCAACTTTTACTTGTATAATGTAATTAAAAAATAAATAAATAAAATTTGTGCATAGCACAAAATAAAAACTACTTATTGAGTACAAAAAAGCTAGGAGCCTAGGATTAACATAGCAAAGTGTTTTTTTTTTTTTTTTTTTTTTTTTTTTTTTTTTTTGAGTAAGATCAAGGGCCTTACCAAGCCAGAACCCAACGCGGATCAACGCAGGCCGAGTTAGCGGGGTATACAATTTGAAAGAGTGGGGGGAAAGTAAGGGAATCCCACTCTCCAATTGTATTGAACCTCCAACCTCATAGTTGAAAAGGTGCTCTGATCTCCTTTCTACTAGACCAAACTTAGCTTGGTAATTGACATAGCTAAGAGTAATACCTTATTATTGTACGCAAAATTGAGCTATCGAGTAAACCATATAGACATAAAACAAAAACAATATTTAGCATAGCAAAAGACATGATCAAATAGTACACTTTTACATGACAACTACCCACAACACCTATTTGTAATGTATACATGATATCTTCAACTATAAGCGAAGGGTTTTTTTTTTTTTTTTTTTTTTTTTTTTTTTTTTTTTTTTTTTTAAACTTTACAAAACAAGCATTCAAAATACTCTAGTACCCAAAATATTTAAGAGCACTAACATAGTAGATTGCTAGATTACAAGACTTCAGATCTTAAACCCATATTTGCACCAACATTAAACAATTCACTATTCTCCAAGATTATAAAATGAGACATTATCATATCTGAGATAACACTTTTCATCGACAGAATACGCAGCCGGAGCACCTTCGGCCAACCCCCTCAAACCAGAAAGTGCATCTTGTAAGCATAGACTACAATTTACTCCAACTATATCAGGGGTGCATTGAGCTAGACCATAAATGGTCTGGTCCCCGGTAACACTAGCTTCGTTGGTGGAAAAACCTAATACTGAGCCATTCTTTTGGCTTTCAAAAGCGGCCTCATTAATCAATTCCTCCATCAAGGATGTAAATGTTACGTTGAACTGCTCATAGTTTGTTACGTTGACTTCAATGAACCCTATACGCGTTATTGATATCGGCCATAAGCCATACATATTGTAATTTGAATATTTGAAGAAGCACAAGCCGGAGGTGTATGATTTATCTACGAATTCGCAATCAAATCCTGCAGCTGATTGTGTACCGTTAAGGATGCACTCGTTACATACCTCAAGGCTAACATCACCGCGACACAAGTAGTAGCCAAAGACCTTATCAAGGTTGTGACCTACGGAAGTGTTGTAAAAGGCCTTTGTTGAGGATTGCTGGTTGAAATCAGATAGGAGGAGATGGACATTATTTTGAAAGGAAACGGTAGCATTTGTAGTGTGGGAACAACTAGACCATCCATTTTCGAGACTAAATTCATAAGTGTCCCTGGTTTGAGAGCGTACTAGATTATAATGACAACAAAATAGTAAAAACGCTTGAAGAAAACATATAGTTCGACTAATCGCCATAGTAATTTTATTGTGTTTGTGCAATGATATGGAAAATGCTTGCGGTAAAGAATTTTGTAAGCGGCAATGTGTTGATGTTCAAGATTTTATAACCTTGAAAATGATATTTGAAAGGTACTTTAACGTACGAAAACATAAGCAAATTCTATGTATTGGTGTTGACAATTTCTTGATTACCTAAGCAAATTTTGAATGGCTTGTGTTGTTTATTTGTTTATTATGTGTAACTTCAGATAGTTGGTTAAAGGGATTAATAAACTGAAATGTTTAGAGAAATTGAAGAATAGTCAACTTGCGGAGGATTGGATAGATAAGAAGGAAGAAAAAGTCAATTATTTTTGGTTGACTAAATTTTAAAAAAAATTACATTGATGGTTTATCGTAATCAAATACTTTTCTTTTGAATTAATTATATGCATTAATAAAAATTCATACTTCCTCCATTTTTCATTACTTGCAGCACCACTTTATTACGCACTTTATAGACTAGGTAAATGAGAAATTAATTGACAATTTTATTTTACCACAAATAATTAAGACGAACGTGATATGTTACTACTGTTTAAATTTTAAGCTTAATTTGTGTTTGCTTACCTAGTTTAATCACTCCTAAAATATTGATGCGGGTGCATGGAACTTGGTGGAGGAAGTTGTGAAGTGCCATGTGTTATGACACATAGCCGTGCTAAACTCCTTTGTGGTCACCTCTCGGGGTTGACCACCATCAAACTCGAGTAATGTTTTCTTAGAATAAAGTTCCAAGGATTCCATGTGTTAGCTAAGAGAGAAAACTTGTTAATGTATTACTCAAGTTCAATTAATCATATCTTCTTTGGCATCAGTAATTTTTATGTGATTCAAAATGGAGATGAAAGTAGAGTCCGAGAGCTTTGCAACGACATGTCAAATGCCCAATTTGAGCGAGAAATGAAGAAGTTATGAGCATTTCAAATAGAGTAGTCCAGGCATAACCGCTGGAGTGATCGCTCCCCTCTACGGAGCGACCGCTTCAACCCTCTTCTTGCTTTTAATCTTGGCCTTTCATTTGTAATACAAGGGGCGTAATTTTAAGAATTTAGGTTTGTTTGTAAAGTTTTTAAATAGGGTTAAGCTTGCTTTTGAGAACAAATTTTACTTGATTTTGAATCTAACGAGATTATCTCTCTCTACCCATAATATTTGTGATTATTGAAATCTATGTGATTTCTCATATAATATTTGCTCTACTTTGTGTTAGGCTTTGATTAAACCCTTATTGCATAAACTTGGTGATTGATGTGATAAGGAATTATCTTTGTTATTTGTTCTCTATCAAATAGCATATTGTTTTTTTTTTTTTTTTTTTTTTTTTTTTTTTTTTGTGTAAGGGTAAGAATAAAGAAAACATTAGTGGTTATTTAATATCAAATAGTGTGTCAAAAAGTGTGTTGCAAGTATAAAAAATATAGAAAAAGTATATTAATGTTTCATCATCTATGTTACTCGGGCACATGTATGACTCTTGGGTGGGGGTATATATACAAGTGTCAGACATTTCATGGTTAGAAAATTCAAACATGGGGACACTGTCTTGAAATTATACGGATGAATACATAAACACACCTCACTTTAGCTTAGCTTGATTGTTATATTTTGTTGAAAACTTATCTCAAAACCATTACTCGAAATAATTAAAGTGTTTGGGTGACAATTGAAGTGTTGGATAAGGATTTCATACCCTTGTCGAAATGTCAAGTATCCAACACGAGTATAACGAGTACGGAACACAAAATTAAAAGTCAAAATATCATAGTTCATCATGAACAATTTACAATTATAGAGTATGCCTAACAAAAGCGGCCCAACTTTCATGCCAAACACAACCCAATAAACTACAAGGTCTTGGTTTAAATCCACCATTTCAATTTAAATTCTTTTGTAGAGTAAGAAAAATTACTCTACTAGGCCGGAGAACAATACTGGTCAACCTGACCCAAGTTAATGAAAAGAACACTTTGAAAGTAAGAGGGAAGGGAAAGAGATCTTCACTCTCCAAGTGTTTCATTTTTAAGGATGAAGCGTTAAGGTTAAAAGAAGTAATCCTTATCAGTTATCACCATACTAAATCTTTCTTTTATATTTTATTTTTTTGGTTTTAATTTTATTTTTTTTTTTTGACGGGAAGCAAAGCTTTTAATTTAATTAAGGCATGAAAGATCATGAGAAACAACATCAGAGGCGTATGGAGGGATCTGCTTATTCCACACCCTCATTACATCATAGTTTCTACTACAATTGGCCATAACATGAGCCACCCTATTTCCCCTCCTTCCCACATGAGAAAAACTACAAGAAAAGCATAGAGAAGCAAGGTGAGCAATGTCTTTTACAATCAGACCCGAAGCAGGAAGGGTCATGAATGCCTTTTGACAAATGATTGAACAAGGTTGTCCATTTCTAGAATAACTCGGCTGAGCCCAGATTCCATAGCTATGAGAAGTGCATGCCTAACAGCCATAACCTTTGCTACATCGATCTCAAAGCTCCCCTGAACCTGAACGCACGTTGCAGCCATGATATCATTTGTATGGTCCCTCATAACACCCTCCAAGGCCAGTGGTTTTGTCACTAAAGCAGGCAGCGTCAAAGTTAATTTTGAACACTCCAACAGAAGGCGGAGTCCATGTTTGGTTGATTGGCACGCTTTTGTTGATCTCAGAGGGCAGAACCATGTTTGCTTTCTCATATTCCCCAACAATCCCGACTGCTCTATTGATAACATCAACAATAGGAATGTCTTTTCGTTCGAATGTAGCACCATTTCTCTTCAGCCACACACCCCAAAGCAGACTCCAAAAGATGTCCCACCAGCCCTTGTCACGATACCTTCGATCTAAGAAGCACACCCACTCCCATATGGACATTCTCTCAAATTTTGACATCCATCCGCAAAGGAGAGCAGGCCTAAGTCATAGCGGTATCAAGGCAAAGAAAAAGAGCATGCATTTCAAATTCGGACATTTCACCACAAACCAAACAAGTATCATCTAAACATATATTTCTTCTTTTGAGATTCATTCTTAAATTACGGGGGTAGCATTATGCAGCACACGCCACCCAAAGTTTTTCAATTTGGGGAAATTTTTGCATTCCAAAGTTTGCTCCAAATGATGCAGTTGCTCAGAGAAAAAGTAGAAGCACAATCAGAGTTTCGAGCCTTAAGTTCAGCATGGTAGGCGCTTCGAACAGTGAAATTCCCATCCTTAGTGTGCTGCCACGCCCAAGAATCAACATTGCAGTAGCATGCCAGAAGAATTTTAGTAATTGCAGAAATTTCCCAATCATAGAAAAAAAATTTCATCAACGAAATGTTCCAGGAATCAGCAGCTATCAGGTCAGAAACCTTAGTTGGGAAATTGTCATCTAGAATCTATCTTGGCAGAGGGCAAAACATAGGCGGAGATGGGATCCAAGGATCATTCAAAGTGTCAATAGAATGACCCTTTCCCAAAATTTTAACAGCTCCCCTAGCAATCAAACCCCTTGCTGAGAGGATCGATCTCCAAGTGTAGCTTGAGTTCGAGCTAACTTTCTTGCTCATAAAATCAGTGTTCGGGAAATACTTTTGTTGGAGAACTCCAACCATGAGAGATTGGGTGTTATTCAGAATGTGCGATGCTTGTTTGGCAAGCATAACCTTGTTGAAAGCTCGTAAATCATGAAAACCTAGCTAATCCACCCTCTTTTTTGGAGTAATAAGTACGCTCCCAAGCCACCTAAGCTGTTTTTCTTTCCTCTTTTCTTTGCCCCCAGAAAAAGTTCTTGCAAAGTCTATCGATTTCATTCAAAATGCTCACCGTAATATTAAAGCATTGCATAGCATATGTGGGGATAGCTTGTGCAATAGCTTTAATTAAAATTTATCTTCCGGCCTGAGATAAAAATCCTTCTTTCCACCCTTTGACCTTTTTCAAGACTCTATCTTGAATAATAGGAAAAAAAACCACTTTTTAGAGCGCCCAAGGTAAGTAGGAAGCCCTAAATATTTATCATGTCCCTCGACGGCCTTACAAGCCAACTTCATCTGAAGGATATTTTTCTTCTCTGGCTCGATTAATATTTCGGCTAAAAGAGACTTCGGATTTATCCATATTCAATTTTTGCCCGAAAGCGGCTTCATAAGTAGCAAGAATCTCAAGAACATTATCAACTTCTTCCTCATTTGCTCTCACAAACAAAAGGCTGTCATCGACAAAGAAAAGATGAGAGATACTTTATTTCCAATTTTCACACCATGAACCAAATTCCTTCTTTCGGCATCTCTAAGAAAGGTCGACAAGCCCTCCGCACAAATAATAAACAGGAAAGGAGATAATGGCACCTTGTCGGAGTCTCCTAGAAGGTAAGAAACCCCTCGAAGGTTGCCCATTAACGAGGATGGAAAAAGAAGCCGTTCTGACACACTCCATGGTGATTTTCACAAACTTTTCCGGGAAACCAAGATTACTCATCATTTGCTCAAGAAAAGACCATCGAACCCGATCATATGCTATGCTCATGTGCAGTTTCAGACCTAGGTGGCCACTTTTCCCAGTTTTCTTCTTTCGTAAAAAATGGAAACATTCATACGCCACAAGAATATTATACGTGATAAGTCTACCCGGGACAAAACCATTTGGGGACTCGTGAATAATGTCCGGAAGGACCCTTTTCAACTTGTTAGCAATCACCTTGGCCACAATTTTGTAAATAACATTACAAAGACTCATTGGTCTAAAATCAACCGGAGACTCACATGTTTTCTTTTTAGGGATGAGAACAATGTGAGTCTGATTATTGACTCAATACCAGCTGGAACTTTTGTGGGGTGCATTTATTTGGGAGCATCGAAGACTTCATCACCTCTATACGGGTCCTCAAGCATACTGATCATATCATCTGAAAGAAAGGGGCAAACTTTATCAATAATCGGTGCAGTTTCAACTGAGCAGGAAGACCTGAAAAGAGTATTAAAGTGATTA